CTATTCCTTGATCTGCCTTTTGACTGACCAGGAGCATCTCTGTCACATCTGGATTACATTTTAGTAATCCATCACACACTGGTGACACAAAACCTCAAAACTCCATACAACCTCTCTCAGAAGTTTCATGTAGATGTTAGATAACATGGGGGGGGGGGGAGAAACCTGAGGACCCTACAGGCTCATAGCCTGGGTGTAGAATAGGAGTCCCCCAGCACCACTTTCTCAGCTCTCCCCTCCAGAAAGGATGGGAACCTCCATAAAGCCGTGTTTCCAAGTCCTATCCCAAAAAGATGGCCCAGAAAGATATTACGGTTGATGGTACTGAAAGCCACTAAGAGGTCCAGCAGAATCAACAGGGACACACACACCCTCTGTCCAGTTCCTAGCATAGGTCATTCACTAAGGTGACCAAAGCGGTCTCCATGACAAGAGGTGTATAAGAGTGACCCCAAAGGTAATGGGACTTTGTATAAGCTCGTACATTTTGCACTTAGTTTTACCTTTTGCTGACAATATCATCATCAAAGAAGCAGATAAAGGCTATGATGTGGTTGTCATGGATACATTGAACTACACACAGGAAGCTGAGAGACAATTATCCTACTTTAAATTTTACCAACAAAAATAAAACTAGTTTCTTGGTGAAGCACTGTGTGTTCGCTCCTTTCCTTGACCCTGGCTACTTTACCCAGAGAAGGTATGGTATTTCCTTCAGAAAAGTACAGTGATTTATCCCACATAATTTCCCTGGAATAAATATGTTACAATGGACCCTCCATTTACAGACGGCTCGACTTACAGACTTTTCGAGTTATAGACTTCTCTGGCCGCAAAATTTAGATTTGACTTGCAGCCAGAGAATCGACCTACAGACCAGAAAAAAACCAAAATGGAACAAAAATAGAATAAAAACTGCCAGTTATGGGATCAATTGGTTTTCAGTGCATTGTAGGTCAATGGAGATTCGACCTACAGACTTTTCGACTTGCAGCCACCGTTCTAATACGGATTAATTCCGTAAGTAGAGGGTCCACTGTATTCTAATCCTGGTCAGGATGGAAAAGCTCCACTTAATTTCCCCCCACTCACTCACATGCAGACAACAGTGGCAGAATACAAATGAAGACAAAAAATGAAATAAAGATAAAAATATACACCCTGAAGAAAATTAATGGAGAATTTTACTGTCACATTCCACTAGATGACAGTGTGGTAATGATGTTCTGTGCTAGGGAGATTGTGCCTGTAACTGCTCTTCCAGATTAATTTGTGCTGAATTCAGGTGTTCAAATGTGCCACAGTTAATCAACCCTGGCATTGTAAGCAAGTTAGAATCAGAGCTTGAAAAACAGGCCTTCTCGGCAGTGGCTCCTCGCCTATTTTACTGTCACATTCCACTAGATGACAGTGTGGTAATGATGTTCTGTGCTAGGGAGATTGTGCCTGTAACTGCTCTTCCAGATTAATTTGTGCTGAATTCAGGTGTTCAAATGTGCCACAGTTAATCAACCCTGGCATTGTAAGCAAGTTAGAATCAGAGCTTGAAAAACAGGCCTTCTCGGCAGTGGCTCCTCGCCTCTGGAAAGGCAATTCGCCAGAAATTTGTCTGGCTCCCTCGCTGTATGTTTTTAAGAGCCTACTGAAGACCTGGCTCTTCAGACAGGCCTTCCCTT